TGAACATGTCCGATTCTTCAAATCTACACGACAAGTTTTGTTAGATTCAACCCCCACAATATCTTCTGTCGAATGTTTAATATGCAAGCAGCTTCCATGATGAATATTATTACTCAACACTATCTTCGCTTTTGGACATAAGTATCCAGACCATTTCGCTGCCATAAGCCCTCTTTCATGCATGCGCTCCATGATTTGGTTTCATATCATCTCCACCAAAAGTAAGATACTTAACATTAGTGCATTTCTTATCCAACTATTGAAGGACTCAGCAACGTTCGAAGTAACATGGTCATACCTGTAAATCACATGAATTTTTTTTATAAGTTTGCCTGTAACCTTAACAACTAAGATATAAGTATAACAACTAAGACGTAACCTTAACAACCAAAACCTAACCTTAACAACGAAATGATAAACTTAACAACAAAACTCTAACCTTAACAATCAAACCTAACCTTAATAAATAAACGGTAAACTTAACAACAAAACTCTAACCTTAACAGCCAAAACCTAACATTAATAACAAATCTGTAAACGTAACAACAAAACTGTACTCTTAACAACCAAAACCTAACCTTAACAACTAATCTGTAGAATTAATAACGAAAATGTAACCTTCACAACAAAACTGTACCCTTAACAACCAAACTATAACCTTAATAATTAAAATGTAACATTAATAATTAATGTTTAAACAATGGTATCATACCTTATACCAGGAAAATAAGTGTTTTCCCATCTCTCCGGGGAGTATTCCATTGCAATATCATAAGACTTTTGATCGATCGATGCCAATTCTTTCATGTAATCATCCCATTCGGAAATTGTGTACTTATAAGCTGTTGTTTGTAATAAATCACCCAAAATTTGAGCGACATTTGCCTTGTGACCCAACTTCTTCATCTTTTTTTTTAAAATTCTCAAGTAGATGTAGAACATACCTTGAATGGAATGCATCTAAAAAGAATTCCTCGACTGCTACCCTAATACTCTTGTCGGCATCAGAAATTATTACCAGTTAATACAGAGGATTGTAAGGCTTTTCCCTATCATATAGTATCATCCATACTCCTTGTAAGAACCATTTCCAATTCTCCTCATTCTCCTAGTCACATACGTAATAAGCAAGAGGAAATATTCCTATCCTGTGGCACTAAGTAATATACCTCTGTAGCGGTCTTTAAGAAATGTTCCATCCAAAAATAAGAGAAGCCTACATCCAGCAATGAGCCCTTAAATACAAATATTATAACTTATGAACAAACGCCTAAACCTTCCATCGTTAGTATTAATAGCAACACGACTTTCTAGATTAGTTACTAGAACCATGGCTTCGTACCTGTATAAATATAACAACAAAGTAGTAACCTTAGCAACCGATTCATAACCTTCACTACAAACTCACAACCATGATAAACCAACAGATAAACTTAACAATAAAAATATAAACCTAACAACTAACTGATACTCCTAACAACTAACCCATAACCTTAACAACCAATTTATAACCTTAACAACCAACGCATAAACTTAACAACAAAAACATAAGGTTAAAAACCAATACATAACCTTAAGAACTAAAACATAAGGTTAGCAACCAATACATAACCTTAACAACTAAAAATTTAGGATAAAAGAATATATCATCTCAGTGAACCATAAACATCATAATCGTCACCAAACAGGTCCTGTTGTGTTCTCTCTTTGCTTTTCCACGCTTTACAGTAGTTAATCTTGATGCCATAATGTGAGAGTAAGTCGTTCTTGATACCAATTAGACGAAGACCTGGCCTAACCTTCAAAATAGATTGTATTTAGCTTGCAATGAGCTTTTTTTATGCCCTTAAGTTGCTAGCGTTAGCTCCGTGTTGACCGCAAGTGTTGGTAGAACAGAAATTCTTTATACACATAATTGAGGAATTTCTGAGTGGGGAAGAAAACAACATCCAAGGGCAATCCAGCGTGTTCCTGAATCGATAATGGACTCTTATACGTATTTGTTCATTATGGTAAAAATCATACTCGAACATTTTTGCAATTGAGTAGTATTGAAGTGCTAATCTAACTTCAGCAGCACTATCTATTTTCTAACCAATTTCATATATGGCTGTGTGCCACTCAGCTGGGATCTTGATTTGGTTGTTAACCATGTCTTCCATCATCGTGATCGAGTCGCCAGTGGGATTGTCATTAGGAATACACTCATCATTACATGTTTGGGTGAGTGTAGCCGCTGCGCATCATGAATTTTCTGTTGGGATAGTCTTGTAAAAGTGAAAAAAGTACGTAACAGCCAACCATAACCTTAGCAACCAACTCATAAGGCTAACAAAAACTCATAAATACCTGCTAAGGTTAATAACCAAATCATAACCTTAACAACCAACTCCTAACCTTAACAACCAACACATAACCTTAACAACAAACTCATAAACATAACAACTAACCCATAACCATGACAACAAACACGTAACCTTAACAACAAACTCATAAACTTAGCAACCAAGTCGTAAACTTAACAGTGAACTCATAACCTTAACAACCAACTCAAAACTATTTCATAAAGGTTGACAAACAACTCAACCTTAACAACCAACTAATAACATTGTCAACCAACTCATAACCTAACAACGAACTCATAAAGAAATTAAAAGTGAAATGCTTACATATTTTCTGAAGAAGTTTGGGTGTTCTGAGAAGTTGAGGATTCCCCAACGGAGGTAGCATGCAAGTTTATGTCTGTAAATCCATTACGACGATAATACTTGAACATCAACCTCAAGTCGTCGTCATTATCAATTGAAAAAACTAAACTTCTTTTCCCTTTCGGATATGAATTTCAGTGAAAGATATTACAATGGTAGTTTAAGCCTTTGGAACACTTGATATTTCAAGCTAATAACTTCTATAAACTCGTTGATAACTACGAAGACACCATCACCCTCTTCGTTGCTTTTTGTGTTTGTAACCATGCAAAGAAGAGATCCATCCGTCATTTTAAGAAGAGCAGTTGAAGAATCAAAGAGGATTTGTTGAGGAGAATTAAGTGTCAGGGAGAGTTTAGTTGGGGTAAGCAAAGGGGGAGGAGATGGATTTACTGCGGAGGAGGAAAGGAAATAGTTAGAATTTGGAGGGAAATAAGGTTTTTTCCCCTCCAAATTTTCCTTCTAATCAACATTTAATGCCTACATTACTACTGTTCACTCTCCGATAACCGGCTTGATAGAGTGACCGGTTGCTTGAGGGCATTTTAAAAAAAAAATTATTTTTAAACATCAGGTCACATGGGGAAGGGTTTGGGGGGCTAAAGGAATGTGAGATGCTGTTGTCGGGGCTTTGGGATCGTGGAAAAAGTCTTTGAGGGGGGGAGGGTAATACTTGTAAGGGAATTGGGGGCTAGAAGCAATTTTTCCTTAAAATAATCTAGTGAAATTATTTTGATCCAGGAATGATAAACATATAATTGAATTTCCTAATCATTGTTAACTTTACGAAAGTGGGGGCTTATCAACATATCTTGATTCTTGACCATCATTTTAACAATGACAGAGGAAGTCCAACAAAATTTGACTGATGAGCCGTACACTGCTTGATGCCTACACATTAATAGCATAGGAGGAAAAGAAAGAATAAGAATGAGAAGAAAGAGGGCGGGGCGGGGGGGTGGATGGGGTGGATGATGACTTCTTTTCTCACAATATCTTCATGATGACTTCTCCAATCACGGTCATAAAGGCCGCACACCCCTACGCATCCCATTTGCTTTCTACTTGTGAGAGGTAAAAGATTCAAAGAATGAGATACAGGTGCTTTTACCTTTCATGTCGGTACACGTCTTGCTCCTTTAATTTAAGGGTTTATTTCAAAGATACCCACTAAATCATAGATATTTCAAAAATTATACTTGGAATCATATTAATTGTTGATGATCTTTCGATTTTATCTTTACGGTAAGCTAAAAGTAGTAAAATTGGAATGTTCCGTTAAATGATTAATTTTTAAAAGAGATTATATCATCGCTTTTACGTTAATTTTAGTTGTTAAGAGTATATTGTCAATATGTCTTGAGCATCTTTTTTTCTGTGTTGGAACCTGAACTCAAGTATCCATATTTTTAAAGCTCCAATTTAAATTCATAGTTGACGAAAATCCGTCTGTGGTTGTTTGCCACTACAAAGGCCTTTTCCACTACACCAAAATTTTACAGTATTAGTATCATAAAAATAATAATTGACGTGGCGTCATAGCAACTGGTTCAATTCTAATGCTCATGATTTTGAAGAGGATTTAGGAAGTAAAGGTACCTCAAACCATAGAATCGTCACTCGATTTGTGGGTACGTGTTAGAACATAAAATTATATTTTCACATCAAAATTATATCTTCACTTCAACTTCAAACTTTTTTCCTCACAGTAAAAGGAACATATGACAGTAGTCTTAACTAAGGGATTAAGATACTAAACTCTGTCCTTCCCGTTTCTCTAATCATTAGTAACCGAACACTGAACATAAAATGTTTAGCAGTTTTTTAGGCAAATAACGACGATGGTGGTTTATGGATATCCTTGCAAAATCATTTGGACCACACAGAGGGTAATATTGGGACAAAGATACAGAACCAATTAACGCAAGCGATGGTATCATTCCATCTCATCTCCTCGACTCCCCCATCCTTCTCTGGACTCTCCGACATCAATCTTAACAAAAACACGGGAGAAAAAAAAAATTTACCAAGGGAAGGAAATAAAGAAAGAAAGCAGAATAGTTGGTGGACTACAGCTCTACGTTAACTATTTCTCCTCCACTATCCTCCCCCTCTCTCTCCTCAGCAAGATTCCTGCAGTGCTTCACGTCCTCCCACTTGCTCAACTATTTGAGTATATACAAAGTTAAGCATGGACAAGGCTAAAAACTTAGCAAAATGCTTGCTTGTTTCAGTGAAATAAGAACAATAAAAGTACAATGAAAGTAACAAGAAGATTGAGATCACTGCTCATAAACGAACAAAAGAATATGTCATGGTGTCATTGAATCTATTCTAGTAAAATACAGAGCTAAAAAACAGAACAAAAAAATGTTCTTTACTTCTATCATCACCATGTAATTTAATTTCATAGCACTCTCTTGTTGATACACATAAAGAACAACATAAATAACAGACAAAAAAAGGGTAAGCTGCAAGATGAAAGCAAGATAAGCATATGCATTAATATGTAGTAGTAATAAACACCAACACCAGAACAAATTACCCCCGTTTTCGATTATCTTGGGCCAAAGTCCAAATTCTCCCACTTGAAGGGAGCAACTGAGCCAATTTGAGGCGAGCCTCTGAAGAACAAGCAGACACAAACACAGACTGCAGCAATGGCGAGCATCGAATGCACATATGGGCGTTCGAGCAACCCACGGGTATGGCCAATCCGTTTGCCCCGTGCTTTTTCCATGAAGGCGCATTTAGAACAAGAGGTTACTTCAAGTGTTCTCACAGTATCTACTTTCTCTCCTTCACCGACGATCCAAGACTTGTCCATTGATATCTCATCTTCGACATTTATTGACACTTGACAATTCTTCCTGTCTGCGAGCTTCCTAGCCACGAGCCTGTTGTAGAAGTGGTTGTTCCTTTGCGATGCATACATGTAAGGAGTCTGCCCACTCTCGTCTAGAATTGAGTTCCAACAGTTCATACCAATCTGAATACCGTTTGAAAACAAATACCACAAATCAATGAACATTGTTTGAAAATAAAATCATAACCCTCAAACCTCACAACTTCAAAATCTTAATGAGTTTTGGTATAATAGCAGTCCTTTGATATGGTATTAGAATAAACCAGGTTCAATTCCCACCGGCCATGAATTTAAAATGGATTCTATATAAAAAATATAAAGATGTGAGTTCAGGTTTCAGACCATTATAAAAAAATTTTAAAAATAAAAAGAAAAAAGCTCTCAATATACGGGGCATGTTAGAATACAAAATTTTAATATGCTCAAACATCACCATAACTTCATAGTTTTGCCGTAGCAATAGGGTCCTTTGACAAATATGAATCCAAATTGATATTGGCAACGAGAAAAGAAGTTTGAGAGTGAATTGGCTATAACCTCTTGTGGGTCATTTGTCAAAGCATCAACCATGTCCTCAGAGTCCTGTGTTGATGCAGCTAGATGCAAGGGGGTTATTCCACCAGGGCCAACCGAATTTGGAGGGAAAAGATAGATCTTGGAACCACTGCACTCAGGCTCACCCATAATCACATAGTAACTGAGAAGCAAGTCAACCATCTTTCTACACTTTCTCTTTACAGCTCGGTTTAATAACTGAATCTCGAGAAGCATTTCTAGTGATTCCTGCGCTAAGGTATCATTGTTCAAGCTTCTCTCTGCTAGTATGTCAAGAAGAGTTCTGATGAGAGAGGACCAATCACGCTCTATTGAGAATGTCAAGAGGAACTTGAAACGGGTAGTGGAGAAATCCATGAACCGAGGATCAATGCTATTCTTTCTTTGGAAAAGCCAACCGAGTTCATTTAGAAAGTGAAGGAGATCCTCTCTTGACCTGGGGCGCCCATTATCCTGAGTTTGTTCTTCAGAAGTAACATCCCTAGTTCCTACTTCGTTCTCAAACTCGGATTCAAGGGCTCTCAACTCTTGGCAGATATTAGAATTGGCTATAATAACAGGAAAGCTGTTCCCTCTGAAAGCATTTTCCACCTGCAATGGACAAAACAAATATCCAGCCACTATAAATTTGGCCCAAATTTTTATTTCAACCAAATGTAGCGTCTTTGAATTGCAAATAGTCACCTCAATAAAACAGCGGCCGAAAGAATTGGGAATTCCTCCAGGAAGCGTAAAACTCTCCACACTAGCATCGTCATAAATGGTGCCGGGATATGCTGAACCAAGAACTTCTTTTGAAGTGTATCCCCCCATAAATGTGCAATGGATTCTGCAAATGCAAAATATTAATCATGAGACTGAGAGATCACCATTCATTAATAGAAATCACTTGCACTAAACATGGATTCTTACTTGGTTCCAGGAATGGTCAAATTGCGACCTTTTAGAACTAGGGAGGTTTCCTGCCCACTCACAACAGCAACAGGTGAGACAGAGGTTATCTCAGGAGCACTCCATGTTCTCCAAGATTTACAAAGACGGACTTTACCTGTGAAAAATTAATTGAAGTAAATGATCAATTCTCCTGTTTCAATGGATGTTAAGTCCGTAATCCTCTTGCAGAATGCATAATAATGAAGAAGAAAGGACAAAATCATACCATCCTTATGTGATGCTAGTTGTCTACTTGTACGGACCAAAAACCTCCCATCTATCCAAAATTCTGAATCAGAATTTTGGACAAGTGAATTGATCCGATGAAGAAGATCTCCTTCAAGCTGAAATGCAATAATATCTCACATTACTACACTAATCAAGAAAGTAGAAGACAATGGATCTTCATTAAAATTAAACACACACTTCATCCCAAGCAAATGATGGCATCGATGCATAAATGGACAAGACAACACAGCCAGGTCGAATGTAGCTCTCCATTTCCGATGGGCTGTGAGCGAGCCAGTTGACAATCTGTAAACAAAGAAATTACAAAGGAACTCAACATCACTAAATAATCCAAAACTCTTTCAATATGCAGATCTGGTTCTAACTTCAGCATACCTGACTCCGGAGAGCTGCAGGAATTTTGCTGGGATCCTTATCAAAGAGCTTAAAAATTATTCTCCCAGTACGATCCTGTAGATAAAATGAAATTCATATCAAAAGATAAATAACATTTTGATCTCACGCATTGAATTGAAACGGTTGGCTGAACAGAGAATTATCATGTTACCTGAGCATCAGAATTTGAACTCGAAGGTGAGTGGTCTGATACTGAGGATGAAGTGTAGCCCCCTTGATATGGTATACTATGAACCACCCCATTCTCAGCTTGTCTTTCCGACTCCTTAAAGAGCTCCAATGGAGTTGACCACCGATGACTTGTGCTTGCATCAACAGCACCATCATCCTCCCAGCAAACCGACATCCTCTCATGCTTCCTTTCAGCTGCAGAATGTAGAGGAAAGAGCTTTTGAGCCACTGGAGGAGAAGACGAAGGAGATCTTTCATCCATGGGATTACTACTCTCAGAGGAGAAATATTTCACAGAAGATGCAAATTTCGGAGGACTATCTTCTTCAGCCGAGCCAAAAAGCTGCAATGGCAAAGTTTGTTTTGGTTCTTGACGAGGACGGTGAGAAGAGTCCAATGGTGGCCGCCCATTCCCAACCGAAGGAAAGTTTTGAGCTGGCTTGCTATGAGAATTAGCATCAGTCGCGGTCTCCACAGAGGGCATTTTGGTCTTATCATCACCACTACTGTAACTGCTCCCTTGCGATAAAGAAGCAAGGACATCAGATGCTGATGCTGCAAGTGCTGAAGAGAGAACTGCAAGCAAGTCGGTGGTTGATGGAGCAGTCTGATTCGCATTTGTTTTGCATGACTGATCAATAGACTCTTGCGCAGGTTGTGAAACATTTAGATCAAAACCAGTCAACTTTGGAGCTGCGTTCTTAGATAAGGAGTTTATTTTACTAAGAATTTGGACGAGCCGGTCTTTATCAGGAACAGAAGGGACACTGGCTAGCTTACCACCATTATTACCTGCAACTGTAGTAGTAAACAATGAGGCTAAAATCTAAAAAAGAAAAGTGAGAATGAAATTTTATGAACAAAACCAAAGCACACCTTGCAATTTAGCCAGAACGGCCAACAAATTGACGATATCAACACCACCATTTGCGATATTCTCCCTATTTCCAGGCGTTAATAGCTTAGACGAAACATCCTCCGGCTGAGTCTTTCTCCTCCTTCGGTTATGGCCAGCAAGCCTACGCCGGCAACTCCTCTTCCCCTCATCAAATTCTGATAGGGGGTGAAACCTATGAAGCATAAACAAGAAACCCACATGACATTTCAGAAAAATTCATTAACACCACACAGATTCAGCAAGATAAAGCTATTTCATACTAGATCAGCAATTCTCAAAGCTGAATATACGAAATTACCTAGATTAGCCAACTTCTAAAGCTATATGATTCTACATATACACTCTTAATTCAGTATCCAATCTAAATACATATAACTAATCAAATTTCAAAGTTAGGGTCAGATTCCATTCATACCTGCTACACTGTTGGCAGAACCTCTGCATCTGCTTCCCTACAAGAGCCCTCGTCGTCTTACTATGAATCTCACAAACTTTATGCCTTCTATGATAGTCCTTAGCACCCGATAGATCTGCTCGACAATCATCAACCTGGCACATTGGATAGTTTCCCCTGCTGCCCGGAGATCCTGACCTAACCCTTTTGCTTGGCCTCACAGCCTGCTCCTGTGCTGCCGAGTAAACTCCCCCTCCAAGGTTCAGTGTCAACGTCTCACCATCCTCTTCCAAATTCTTTGGCAAATTTTGCGCCTTTACAGCCTCTTCTGCTCTCGGTTTCGATTGCGAATCATTGGATCCAAGATTTGGGAGGTTGGGAGCATTCTGTGATGGTTTTGCAGTGAATTTGGAACTGTCCCAATCCCACAACCTCGGGTTCCAGTTGGTGTTTGGATTGGGGATCCACTGATTGATCTGCTGTTGCTGATAACTGGAATTGTTAGGGTTTTGCCATGGGAAATCTCGCTTCTTGGCATGGATTGGGCCATCATGGAATCGAATTGGGTGGGGTTGGTGAAGGAAAATTGGAGGTGCGACTTGCGCACCCACATCACCTTCCATTAACCAAGACCTAAAAACTCAGCAAAAATCCAATCCAAAATCCCAACTTAATCAATCCTTTGTTGGTTTCAATCCAATACCAGATCAAATCCTGACGCAAAAAAGAGTAGAAAACGAGGAATTAGATTCATTTCACCGAAAAATGGCCCAGATTCAACTAATTTGGGACAAAAAGAAAATATAGTTATCCATAACTGTGCAAACTAGATTATAGTCCTAGATCTATAAAAAAAAGGCAACAAAATCCAACGGAATTACCCAAAAGATAGTCGAAAATAATAGTAGGCAACGGAATCAACTTCATCAGAAAATACATAAAAACCCCGGAAATTTTCCTCTAGCTACCCCCAAAATATTTTTAAAACTCTGGAAAAATTAAAAATAAAAATCAACAAAAGGAAAACAATTATCGTACAAAGTCAATGACGCCAGACCTCAAATAAAACCCAGGGAGAAAATTTCAAGGTAAAGAAAACGATTGAAACAAATAAAAAAGCTGATTAATCCTTAAAAAACTGCAAAACAAAAATCTCAAAAAATCCCAGAAAACCCACTAACCTCGTCACATCAACTGACTTCAAGCTCCTCGCTCGTCGGCGAGAACCAACCCAGAATCAGATTGATCCGTAAACAGATCAAGACAGAGGATTTTTTTTTTTTTTGTGGGTTTCTTTCCTTCGAGTTTTTGTTTTTATTTGTTTACACCTTTTTCACGGTTAGAAGTCTTCTCTTTTAGTTCGGCCTGAAGCGTGGCAGATCCTGTAAATAAGATCGAAAATCAATGGCGATTCCGTTTCATCCACCGCCCCACGCCTCGCGCTCTTGTTTCAGTGAGAGAGAGAGAGAGAGAGGAAAGAGAAAGTTGAAGGAGGAATCGGCGAGGAGAGAGAAAGAGTTCAATTATTTGATGGAGAGATGAGGATATGAGGTATTCTTTCTGTTTCTTCTCTCTCTCTCTCTCCCTTTTTTTCCTTTTTTTCTTTTTTTTCTTTTTTACTCTCAAAAACTTAAACTCAACTTTGTTTTTTCTCTGATCTTCTCCCTTTTTGAGGTTTGTTTCAATTTTAACGTCACGCGTTTCATGCTTTGCTTGTGGCCAGTTACTGTAGGAGTGAGTTTGTTTCTTTGTTTGAGATTCACTCTTTCTTAATGACTAAAGAGCTTTGCTACAGGAACCCAAAATATGGGATCAATAGAAGGGACAAGTTAAGTGTCCTCCTCCTATTGGATAATGAGTTGGTCATCATTAATGATGACCAACTCATTATCCAATAGGAGGGGGACACCTCACTTGTCCCCTCTATTGGTCCCATATTTTGGGACATTGGGAAATTTTTCATGACTAAATTAGCCCCTGGTCTTTTTGCGTGTATGCCCCTTTCAAATGTAGGCTTGGCATTATTGGTCCGTTCCTCGCATGGAAACTCCATCTTTAACTAACTTTTTATTTGTGGTCTGGTACAAAAAATATTCTTATGTGGAAACATGTTCTGTTGTGAATATGGCGGGCTAGGGCATGACAATAATCTCATGAATTATCCCATCCATCTACAAAAATAATTTTGTTCTATGCATACGAAGTCAAAATGAAAGAATCTCATGAATTCAATGTGCTAAAAGACGCAAACAATTAAACATGATAGGCAGATTGTATCCAAATTGCACAAGGAAAACGAGAATTCTTTTATCGTAAAAGACAACTGGTTTTTTCTCCTTGCACAGATTAGAATAAGTGATAATATTATTTTTAACAAATAGGATCAAAATATCGGCGAGAACTTTTTCGAAAACAGTTGAAAATGGATATAATAACTTCCCTAGAAAAAAAAAGAATAATGACCAACTTATCAAAGAAGGTAAAACATGAATCAAATTGAATTTAGAAATATGATTCTTATAATCGACCAACGATTTTAGACGTGGGGTTAATGAGACGTATGTGAACTTATTTGTGATAGATAATGGAGAAAGATATGGTAACTAAGGTGAGAAATTAAATCTAAGATTTCATTCCCTTTCAAATTGGGGTGTAACCAATGGGAAGTTAAGATAACTATTACACAAAGACGATTTTATCCTTCTATAAAAAAATGCAGTACAAATGTAAGATTATCCGCTTAGTTGTTCTTCATTAGGGCAAACTCAAACAGACCCCTATAGGATACAGGCTTTATTGTTGAAGCTCATGGATTAATGTCTCATCATCTCAAAATAGTATCCCTAACTTTTGAAATGATCTTGCTGATCAGTTAATTAACAAGCAATACTCCCCTAGTTCCCTGCACTGCGTTTTCAGATGGAAGTTGGAGCTCTGAGTAAAACTGGCCCTCCGAGAACATCGCCAGGTGCGAGTTGTTGGCCTTCTTGTTTTGATGATGTTTAACAAACAATTTACCACTAATGTTGTTTGTCTAGTATTTGTGTTTTCTTATTTATTATAGACAAACAACGTTGTTGGAGGATGGATGGATTGCGCTTCAACGATGATATCCAAAGGAGGTTGGCGGAATGTCGGTGAAGCCTTGCTATTCAAAGTTCAAGATCCAAGTTAAAGCTTCATCCGCGAGATTACCTAGAAGAGCTTATTGAAGATCAAGATCTAGCTTGGGTAATTTAGTTTAGGAATTTATATTATGTGTGTTAGTACTTTAAGCTCAATCATATACACACATACACGTTTTGGTTTTTGTATATATATAGTTATATATATACATATATGTTTTGGTTTGATAGTTTTCAAGTTTTACTATGAAACAAATGAATAGAATTGGAAAATACTATTTTGTTTCATGTTTATATGCCTATATATGATTTCACCTTTAACAAGCTTATATTTAATGAAATCATATTTAGTGTTTTGAATATATTGCATAGAATATGCAAATTTATGAAAATATTGTATTTCTAGATTATAGACTTCATAACAACATGTTATATCTTTTATCAAGTCTATACAATCATTTCATAAGGTTTCAAAATGTTGTTTAAGTCAAAATATCAAAATATCAATTTTCAGGTTTTCATGTTTTGGACTATTTTGTAAAATGATGATATTTTTCATTTGGGAAGTCCTTTTTCGAAACCAGTCGTTGTAGCATGTTTATTATCATGTCTACAATCATTCCCCAAAGTTTTACATTTTTTGGAATTTATTTGATATTTTTAAACAGCATTTCAAAATCAGATAAACAGTTTTCATATCAGTTTTCGGTCGACCGCACCGGTCGACCGAACCTGAGGTCAAAAGTTTAAGTGTGTTTAAAAAGCTTTTAAGCAAATTGAGAGTTTGTTTTTGTGATTCAATTCTACAAGAGCTTGAGGAGATCATCTATTGGTGTTTGGGCATTCAACTATTCTCCCTCCAACTCTTGATATATTGAGAAGTTTTCTAAACTCTATTTCTAGCTTTTTTATATATTTGATTATCATTGTTATTAAGCTAGAACTACATTGAGTTTAGTTTTGATTTATATCTCTTTGTTCACACACAACCTATTGAGCTTATTGTATTTACATTCATAGTATAATTTAGGGTTGTGGGTTTGTGACATTGAGAGTGAGCTTAATTGAGTTCTCACCTTGTTTTGAGAACAATCATTTGTCATATTTGTGCTTATTGTGAGAATCACTTTGTAATACACTTGTACACCGAGTGAGGAGTGTGTGGTGAGAGTCGGGGATCGTCCCAAGAGGAGTGGCGTCGGTTGACGTGCCTAGGGAGAGGTTGTAACCGAGCACTTGAGGGAGACACGGCTAGGTCCAACACTTAGTGGGTGTAGAGTGTGATTGCAAGAGTGTGAGTTGTAGAGTTTTCGGTTAGCTAGAAAACCGAGTGTGTAGAAGAAGTTCCGGCTTCCAAACCGGATTGTGTTAGTGGATTTCTCCCCAGGAGTGGGGAGCGGAGACGTAGGACGGAAGGTCCGAACTCCGTGATCATATTGCTTGTTTGAGTGTGCTTTGGCGTTCATTCATATTTATGTTCATATCTTATATCGCCATCGTCATTAGCTCATTATCTATATCATCCACTATCTAGTTCATATTGTTTACCCTTGTGTTAGTTTATATATCCTTGCACATACATTGTCTATATCTCTTTGTTAGGATATATCTTATTGTTTATATATCCTTGCATATATTTCTATCATATAGGATATATCACCTTGTGTATATTGCATATTCTTGCACATAACTCTTTGTATATCTATCTTGCAAGAATAAACTTGTTAATTAGTTTTAATTAGCATTTAATCGGATTAGATTAGCATAAGACCCTAATCACCCCCCTCTAGGGTCTAACACGAGCAATGGCAAATTTGTAATAACTACAACGTACTATGGAAACTGGCACGTGCACCTGGGATTCTAGGCTGGAAAGCCGGCGTCCGGGTGACGCGACGGTGGGAACTAATTACAGCCTAATATGGCCTTCGGTCAAAAGGTAAAACTAATTTACCTTTGATTATTACCTGACCCATATGGCCTTCAGTTCTAGGCTGTAACTAGTTAACTGGTCTCGTCCGATAACTGACAAACCAATAGATCACGTGTCCGGTCAAAGGTAAAACTGATTACAGCCTACATGGCCTTCGGTTACCTGACCTATTAAAAAGCGCACGTGCTTTTGTACACTCTAGGCACCTGAACCGAGGGGAAATCGATGAGAAGTTATCTCGTACGGTTTGTGTTAAAAATAAAAAATAAATAAAAAATAAATAACTGAATCTTGGTAGCTCGATGATAACCACATTTTTATTATAATTTTATGCACTTATTATTTATTTTACATGAATAAATTACTTATCTTAATTTACAGGTTAATGAAGAAATAATGAATAAAAGCCCAAAACACTCTAACTTCCTTATTTTGTAACATTTTATTAAAATCCAGGATCAAGCCAAGAAGCCTGTAGAAGTCGGAGAAAACAAAAATCCAATATGAAAATAAATCATATTCAAGATAGCTGACCGTAATGAAACAATGATATCTCCCAATCCAGAAGGCGAAATTTAACATGTAATATATGAAAATTGTCTATCTCGACGAGACGAAGCCATCCGTCAAGTCAGATTTTTTATACAAGCATCGAAACTAGTACCAATACCAGCATCGATAGGGATATCGATACCAATATCGATACCAAATATGCAGTTACGATTTAAATGCTAAAATTGATTAACTTGGGAATCAATTTTAATCCAAGGACTCTCATTTATTGCTATAGGCTATAAATAGGGATAGAGAGTGAGGGGTTAGGGTGTGAAATATTTTGTAAAAGTTCCTTTCAGAGAGGAGAGTTACTCATAATTGAGAAGACTTTTCATATTATTACTTTTTGTTGTAATTAATAAAAAAATATTTTCACCTCTTCATATTTTCCTTTTATTCTCTTTGTTTGATTATGAAGATGAAGGTAAGATAAAGATGAAGATGAAGATGAAGGTTTGCTTTCACCTTGAGGCTATAACCTTCTTGGGATATAAATTTTCTCTTTGTTAATAAATTTATCTTTTATTTTCTTTTCTTGTTTAAATAGACAAGAGGCTAGAACCCTATTGCCTTAGATTTAATTTCATGCTTATAGAATAGATTTACTTTCATGTCTTTACTTTCTTGCTTTAAGTTCTTGCATTTATTTTATAGCTTAGATTTTATTTTCTTATACTATTCGTCTTGAGACTAGAACCCTCTAGGGATTAGTTTTTACTTTTATTTATTTTTCTTTTCTTTGATTCGCCTTGATGCTAGAACCCTCTAGGGAATTATATTTTTTAAAAATGTGGAACTAGTACTTATGGGAACTCTAGAAATTGCATGAAACTAGCTAGTGGATTCAATTCTAGATTCCTCATATCTCTAATTGAATCCTCCATCTTTTGCTAGTGGATTCAATTCTAGATTCCTCATATCTCTAATTGAATCCTCCATCTTTTACTTTCTTTATTTTCCTCTTTATTCTTGATT